AGAGAGAAAGAGAGAGAGAGAGAGAGAGAGAGAGAGAGAGAGTCAGGAGATGTGAGGAGGTAGAACTTGAGACTATACACTTCTCCTTATTCAAACCTTTAGCTAGACACCTTATTTTCAGCAGTGACCCTTGCCAGGGACACTTGCACATCATGTTATTTCTGCACCATTCACAATAGCCAGGAAATGGAATCAACCCAGATGTTCACCCAAAAAGGAAGAACAAAGAGTATGTGAAACAGACACAACCTGATCTTATGCAGCCATAAAGATAAATGAAATATTTGCAGGAAAATGGATGGAATTGGAAATCATTATGTTAAGTGAAATAAGCTAGACTCAGAAACACAAATGCCACATGTAGGGATCCTATTTTTAAAAGTGTGTGTGTGAGTGTGTAAACCAATAAGTCCTATCTATGTACAGGGACCCTGCTTTAAAGGAAACAAATGACTTATTCTGAGCCAAATCCAAGTGGCTGTGTTGTTCTGGGAACATGTATTCAAGTCACCTTGGGTGATATTCTCTGAAATATATATATATATATATATATATCAGAACAAAGAATAACATAAGTCAATGTATCCAGCAAGTATTTGTGGGGCTTTAGGTAGGCAGGCAACAGCAAAGTAAGCAAATGTAGTGCATAGATTTTAGCTGCCATCAAATAGCCTTAGCTTTAGGGTTGGTCAAGTTTAGAGGACCACTAAGCTTAGTGATATATTCCCAGGGGTTACCTAACAGCCACTGGAATGTGAAGCTTGAGGCAAAGGTTAAATATAAGAGTTTACAGCAAGTGACAGTGATGTTACTTATCCATGGACTCCACATTTATTAGTAGCTTCTCCACAGTTCCAAACACACTTAATAGAGAATATTCAATCAGAAAAACAAGTGGTTCTTTTTCTGAAAAATAACCCAAGACAATTTTAACTGTGTGTACAATATCTAATCTTTTACAACCATGATGCTCTACTCATCTATGGCCTGACAGCCTTGATGTCTTCAGAAGTGTGGCTTCTGAAGAGAAATTCGACATCACAATTCTTTCAGACCTTAGCCAGATTAAAAACAAAATGAAACAAACAAACAAACAAACAAACAGATCTTTTGTTTGGACAACTCTTTTCTTTTTGAGACAGTTTGTCAGGTAATGCAGTCTTGTCTCAAGCCTGGTATGTAGCTGGGGATGACCTTGAACTTCTGAGTGTCTTGTCTCTGTTTTACCTGGGATTAAAGTCATGTGCCACCACAATTTGCTTGTATGGTGCTGGGGAGTCAAAGCCAGGGCTCTATGCATGCTAGGCAACTGTGAACCTTCTACCAACTGACCTACATCCTGGTCCTGGCAACTCCTTTATCAGAAAGTATGAACTGATTTTAAAATGGACCCTTTGGAGGTTGCTCATTCTAAGAAAGGGGAGTTATTGCATCAGATGCTTGCAGGGTGTGAGACACTAATTCACTTTCACAGGCAATATACCTAAGGAAAAACTCTCTGTCCAAGGGAAAAAAGTCACTTAGACAGTTTTTAGAGGAAGAAGGGAAAATTGGTGGGGGCAATTTCAACTCAAGAAATAAAAAGAAAGCTAAGTGTTATGTTTCATAACTTTTAAACATGGCTCTGTGCTGCCCTGAGGCGACATCTCCAAAGTTTAAACAAGACTAAGTCTCTCTCTCTCTCTCTCTCTCTCTCTCTCTCTCTCTCTC